CTATATGGGATTTTTCAATTGGAAGTAATCGCACATTTTTAGGGTCAAAAATCGCTCGATCGACCGGAGAAGAAGCGAAAAGTGGCCAGTGAAGAGTCCGAACCTCCAAAAAAGGCCAAAGAAGCAGAAGCAGCGCAAGCTGAAGCTGAACACCTTGCCGAACCTGCTGAAGAAGATAAAGAAACAGCAGCGGAAGTGTTGAAGAAATTCGTAGAGCACGTAGAGAGAGTAGGGGCTGAGATGCGTCCCCTCCACGAATGGTGCCAGAATTTCTCATTGAGCCGTCGCCCGGCTGAAGCTAGGAAAATGATACAGGTACGGATTTTCAAATCAAAGATTATAAAGAGCTTTGGGAGCTTTCGCATTATCGGGGCGGGGGAGCATTTTTCTCAGTCTACTATTTTTCTGTTTTTTTCTAAGAAAGATTTTTAAACTTATTTTTGCCACTGATAAATACAAGAAATATCGATTTTTCGACCAAAATCTCAGATTTTACAAATTTTTGGGAAGTTTTTACATAAGTTTTTTATTTGAAATATAGTAAAGTTTCAACAAGATCACTATTAAAGACTTTTTTATGTTATTGGCTCTTCTAGATTTATAGAAAATCCCCCCCCCCCCCCCGCTAATGCGAAAGAACCTACATTAAATATACAGTATTATACAGCTCTATTAAAATGGCCATTTTCATGGTTAATTATAGCCTTTATTAGGCTTCAAAGCCAATTTAAGCCTTCAAAAATTAAAAAAAATGTTTTCAAACATTTAAAATAGTTTTTTTCCTTAAACATTTAAAATTTGAACTGCCGTTTTTTAAAGTAAATAAAAATTGATTGAATTTGGAAACACGTTTGTTTTTAAATAAAAACAACCTTTTTTGAGGTGTGCCAAGGGAAACTGGTGGAAATCAAGGAACAAGAAGGGAGGGTGAATCGCCTCCAACTCGAGATGGAGCGCATCCACCGTAACCCGACCCTTTCCGCAAAACAACTCAAAACGGCCAACGATGCATTCGCCGAATTTGCAAAGGATTGGGCAGAAATTGTGACAAAAATATCCGAGGCGCTGAATGTATTATCTGGACATTCGGATCAAGATGAAGAAGCTGTTGTGGCAAGAGGAATTGAACAATGGATTGAAGGATGTGATAGGGTACGTTGAAGGTGTATTAAAGGGGTTGGGAATGGGGGGTGGGTTAGCAGCGATTCTTTCGGAAAATTGAGATAACCTGGGGCGAGCTAGCAGGGATTCTTAGGGAGTTTCAAAGACGTGAAACGGGAAAGAGAGAGAGAGAGAGAGAGAGGCGAGAGAGAGAGAGAGAGAGAGAGAGAGAGAGAGAATTTTTCGCGGCGCAAGCTAGCCGACAAGCAAGCTAGCAGAGATTCTTTGGAAAAACTGGGATGACTTGGGCAAGCTATCTGGGATTTTTGGCGTTTTAAAGGTGCCGAGACGCCAGCTATGAGCGAGCCTGGCTAACAAAGGTTCTTGAGGAAAAACTTAAATTCCCTTAGGCAGCTAGCAGAAAGTTTAAAGGCAGGCTAGCAGGGATTCTTTGGGAAAAATTGAGATCACCTGAGGCAGACTAGCAGCGACCCTTTAGGAACACCAAAAATTTCAATGAAAATAAAATTTTCAAGGAATTAAAATTTTTTCAAGGTGTTGAACGAGATGGGTAAGGCGAGCGTCTCCGAGCGGGCCCTCCGCGCCAAGAGAATCAAAGAACAATGGGATCTCCAGAATGCAAATCTCACTTTCATCCAAAAGGTTTGTGAAGCTTTTTCAGGGGTAAGCCTAGCAGAGAATATTGAGGAAATCCGAACAGCCATTGTACGTTTTATACTCTTTATTAAATAGTACGTGTATACTATTCACGGGGCACCACATTTTCTAAGGTTTTGAGGACAATCCGTCAAGATTTTTAAGGATACAATATTACGTTTTATACCCTGTAAACTACAGTACGCCATGCGGCGCGATTTCAGGATCACCTAAAACGGGCAATCCTGACGAAAGGTCTGCAACTTGTCGGCAAACGTCTCCAACAACACATCGCCTTCCCCTCCACCCCCCACGTCTTCTGTAATGCATACATCATCTGTACGAGGCGATACTGACGACGTCATCCAAAAGGTGATCAGGGTAGTCTAGCAGAGACAATTTGTGGAATTTCAGATCGAGACGGCTCTAAATGGCCCATGGCAATCTGTGGGGATCATCAGCAAGCTGAGGGAGGATTTGGGGCGGATTGAGAAGATTTTGGAGACGTGCAGGGCGGTTGGTGGTTTGAGGGTTATCACGCGATAATGATAGCTTAGATAACAGGCACCTAAAAATCCATTTTTCTGGCTTCAACGACCCTTTAAAATCCAATTTTAACGCCGTTGAAGTCAGAAAAAACGGGCTATAGTTTTTTGAGTCACTAATGACGTGAATTTTCCCTTCAATCCCCCCTTTAAAACCATGAATTCCAGGAAAACCTTCCGGTTGAACTGCTCGAAAAGGCGGAAACACGAAGAGCTGAAACAATTGAAAGACTGGAAATGACCCAAAAAGCAGCAGAAGCCATCGAGAAAGCACAAAAAAGGCTGGATCAAGCCGACGAAGAAACGAAACAAACGGCAAACAATTCCAAGGCACCATTTCCGGAAACAATCCGGAAATTGGGGGATTTGAGAGAGAGAATGGCGAGAGATGAGGGGATTAGGAGAGACGCAGACAAGATCGTGGAGAAGATGCTGGGATCGGATCCGGAAATTGAGCAGGAGGTGAGAGAGATTCCGAAATGTTCTCTGCTAGTTTGCCCCGGTTTTGAAGGATCGCAGAGGCTGTTGAGGAACCCGGAAATCTTCCTAAATAATTTGTGCTAGCTTTCCTTGCCTACAAAGTAGGAAAATGCTAGGAATGCTGCTGCTAGGAATGCTAGAAGATATTCTCTCGGAACCCGAAATTATCCCAAATGGTCTCTGCTAGCCGGCCTAAAGCGTTTTAGTGGTCCTAAACGGCTTCTGCTAGCCTTCCTCGCCCTAAAAAATTGTAAATCACCCCGGAAATGCTAGCAAAGATCCTTGGGGAGCCCAAAAATTATCCCAAATGACTTCTGCTAGCCTGCGTGGTCCTAAAAACCTAAAGCAGGGCAGGCTATCAGGGATTATTTAGGGAACTGAAGCTCTTGGCAAACACCCCGGCAAATCACCTCTGGTTGCTTGCACCGGCCTAGAATTTTTATCACCAGGGCATGCTAGCAGAGACCGTTTAGGAAGTGGAAAATTACCGAAATTGCCTCTTCTAGCTTCTCCTTTACCTTATCCAACCCAAGTTTTCAGACGATCACCGTCTGGCGTGAGCGTTGCGTGAAATTGTCGACAGATTGGACGACACTCAGCGATAGTCTAGAAGATACACTTTCTTGTGTCAAACGGGAACAGAAGAAAAGCGTACAGAGTAAGCTAGTGTACATTTCTCGATCCGGAATTTTCTGAAATCTATTTTTTCATGCAATTTCTGCTTTTAGAAGCGATCGATGAAGGGGATCGATTATTAGAGACGCTGGAGAAAACGCTGGAGGAAAGTGAATCTGCGGCCGATGCCGAATCGTTGAGTGAACATTTGGATGTAAGTTTTTGGGCTCTTTTGCATTAGCGGGGGGGGGCTAATGTTTCTACAAGACCCCAGAACCTAATAACGCAATAGTAATTATTTTCATAATGTTTTAGCAAAATTTAGCCATATCAGAAGGTGGAAAAATGATCTAAACACGTCTAAAAAAAAAGTTAAAAACCGTGGAAAGTGAAAAAGAGGAAATTTGTAGTAAAAAATATTTGTTTTGGGTTTTTGAAAAGTCAATTTGTAGAAATTTATCGTTTAAGACTGCTAGAAAACTGCCTTTGTTAGAAAATTTAGATGCTATGCTATCCAACCCATTTTTTTCAGCAAATCGAAAGCCTGCTTGAGCAAGTGCCCGATACAAGTCGACTCGAGCCCGTCGTCGATGGTAATTTAACATAATTTGCTAAACTTAAATTTTGCAGCAATCGACGAGAACTTCGTGAGGGACAGCTGGCAGAGACATTCGGCATCAAGGGATAAGATCTCACAAAGGGCCAAAGAGCGTCTCCAGCAGATTGCCGAGAATGTCAAGCAGTGCGAGAGAATGGATGAGATTGGTGGGGATTGGCGAATCGGCAAAGGATCACTGCTAGCCTGCTTTCTCCTAAAGAATCTCTGCTCGTTCCCTATCGCCCCCAATTTATTCCGTATTTTTCAGCGGCCGACCTCGACCGGTGGATGCCCCGTTTTTGCGGGCTTTTGGCCGCCCGGAAAGGGGCTGATATCTCTGCCCTTGATGTCCCTGAGGAATATAAGGTGAGTAGGAAGTTTCTCTCTCTCAGTCTCTCTCTCTCTCCCTCTCACTCCCGCATCGTGAACTTCTGAGGCGTTCCGTTTCCGAGTGCTCTTTTCAGGCTGTCTACCTTTCAATCGCTCACCAGCGTATCTCGTTCTCTCTCTCGCTCTCTCGCTCTCTTTCGCTGACGCTCGCTGGATTCTCTAGCAAAATTCCGCCCAAATATGCCTCTAGGGAAATATCTTCCATTTCCGCAACCTTCAAGGTGCTCAATTCCCCAAGGATTCCTCCTAGCTCGCCTAGGCGGACAACAGGCTAGCAGAGACCATTTGGGAATTGAGAGAGGGAGGGCAGGCTAGCAGAGACCATTTGGGAATTGAGAGAGGGAGGGCAGGCTAGCAGAGACCATTTGGGAATTGAGAGAGGGAGGGCAGGCTAGCAGAGACCATTTGGGAATTGAGAGAGGGAGGGCAGGCTAGCAGAGACCATTTGGGAATTGATAGAGGGAGGGCAAGCTAGCAGAGACCATTTGGGAATTGATAGAGGGAGGGCAAGCTAGCAGAGACCATTTGGGAATTGAGAGAGGGAGGGCAGGCTAGCAGAGATCATTTGGGAATTGATAGAGGGAGGGCAAGCTAGCAGAGACCATTTGGGAATTGAGAGAGGGAGGGCAGGCTAGCAGAGACCATTTGGGAATTGAGAGAGGGAGGGCAGGCTAGCAGAGACCATTTGGGAATTGAGAGAGGGAGGGCAGGCTAGCAGAGACCATTTGGGAATTGATAGAGGGAGGGCAAGCTAGCAGAGACCATTTGGGAATTGGAGAGAGGGAGGGCAGGCTAGCAGAGACCATTTGGGAATTGAGAGAGGGAGGGCAGGCTAGCAGAGACCATTTGGGAATTAGGAGAGAGGGAGGGCAGGCTAGCAGAGACCATTTGGGAATTGAGAGAGGGAGGGCAGGCTAGCAGAGACCATTTGGGAATTGAGAGAGGCAGGGCAGGCTAGCAGAGACCATTTGGGGAATTGATAGAGGGAGGGCAAGCTAGCAGAGACCATTTGGGAATTGAGAGAGGGAGGGCAGGCTAGCAGAGACCATTTGGGAATTGATAGAGGGAGGGCAAGCTAGCAGAGACCATTTGGGAATTGAGAGAGGGAGGGCAGGCTAGCAGAGACCATTTGGGGATTGGAGAGGGAGGGCAGGCTAGCAGAGACCATTTGGGAATTGAGAGAGGGAGGGCAGGCTAGCAGAGACCATTTGGGAATTGAGAGAGGGAGGGCAGGCTAGCAGAGACCATTTGGGAATTGAGAGAGGGAGGGCAGGCTAGCAGAGACCATTTGGGAATTGAGAGAGGGAGGGCAGGCTAGCAGAGACCATTTGGGAATTGAGAGAGGGAGGGCAGGCTAGCAGAGACCATTTGGGAATTGAGAGAGGGAGGGCAGGCTAGCAGAGACCATTTGGGAATTGAGAGAGGCAGGGCAGGCTAGCAGAGATTCTTTAAGCACTCCTGGAATTTTCACGCACCCTGAGCGCGCGTGGCGCGAACACCCCCAGGCGGATTAGGGGGTAAAGCGGAAAGACATTCTTGTGTCACCGCCACTGTTGTGGTCATCTTCAGCCAGTCCCTCACAAGAAAGAAGGGCCCCCACGGCTCTTCCCCTTTTTTGTGGACATTTCGGGGCACTGGGAGGGCCCCCGCACAACCAACTGGCTGACTGTATTTACCCTCTCGAAGATGACGCCCTCTCTCGGTCTCTCTGCCTCTCTCTCTCTCTCTCTCGCTTCTATAGCCGGATGGGATGGATCGGGGAATTCGATAGTTGGGTGTTTGTCTCTTTTTCGCTCCAATTAATCGGAGGTCAGCGGACTTACCGTATCTTTTGAGTATTGGTAAATGCTTGCTGGCACCATCCCTTTAATTCCAATTTTAGGAGGATTTTTATGGCTCTTTGCTTCCTCTCTCTCTCTCGCTCTTTCGCTCTCTCTATATTTCTCTCTCTCTCTCTCGCGCGCGCAACCAGCTGCGCTTCCTCCACTTTTCAAAAAAAAAATTGACACCCAGCTAGCTGGACCGGAAATGGAGCATTTTACACTCCATTATACGAAAACTTTCAGTATCTCTCCTTCTCTCTCTCATTCTCCCTCTCTGGCTCTCTCTCCTCATCTCATCCGATTACGGCATGAAAACCTATCCTTTCCCTTTCCTGTCCCTTTAAAACGGCTCTTTCAGAAGCCCTTTGAGGCTGGCCAGCTGATAGTGGTAGGCGTGTTTTGGTTGCGCAATTTCTAAATTTGCATGCGAATTTGATTTGGTTAGATAATTTGCATGGTGTAAAATTGCGCTTTAAAAACGTACGAAATTCAAAGGCCAATTTTAAGAGGTAAAGTACGATATTGTGCATGCGAATTGTTGAGTTTTCCGATTTTGCGAAGCTGAAATTCCATATGCAAACGTTTAGACGATGCAAGATGAGTACAGTGAGATGGCTGGGAAGGTGGAAGAGATGGAAAAGATCGCAAGGGATGCCCCACAAAATGAGAGACTTGCCGAGCAACTGCAGCACGCACAGGTCGGCATGCTAGCAGAGATTTTTGTGGAATTTTCTGTAGCACACAAATAGTACAAACGGAACATATAAAAAAGCACATATAAATCAAAAATAAAATATAAGATTACTACCCCCCCCGCTACCAGCCTAGTACCGCGCGGGCAGGCTAGCAGCGATTTTTCGGGAAAATTGCCGGGAAATTCAGGATTTCCAGAAATTTTTGTGTTCCTGAAGTTTATTAAATTTTCTTATGAATTTTCAGAAGCACTTTTCCGACGTATCCGTCCGTTTCGCCGAGTTCAGACAGCCGGTCCATTTTGAGGGTCGCCTCGAGAAATGCGTCGATCAATTGGCCACCATCGAGCAATCTATCGATGAAATGACAGGTGGGGAGAATGATATTGGCGTACGGTAGAACATCAATAATTTAGGGATCAAACTCGTTGCCCTTGACAATGGATATCTCGAAGCAAAAGCTGTTGCTAAGAAGCTGGTCACGATCGATGAAGATTTGAAAGATTTGGAAGGGGGAAGAGAGAAGTTGATGGCCGATGGCATTTTGGGTGGGTCCATTTTAGCAATTCCGGCGCTGGTGCATTAGCGGGGGGCGGGGTTTCAAGATTTACTTTATTTAATCAATTCCAGACAAAAAAGAAGCAGCCGAGATTCGCGATAAAATCCACGGGGCGAGGCGGAAAACGAAAGAATTGGGGTTGAGGGCAGAAGAAGCCGTCGATCGACTCGATGACTGCCGGATTCTGGCGGAAAAGTTGAAGAATGAGACCAAATCGGTGCGTTTTGTACTATTTGCAATAAAGGGACAAGCAAGTCGGGGGTCTACCCGGCTTCGCTGTCCCTTTAAACTTTAACCCACGCCCTTTTGAGGTTGATACGGTACTCGAGAGTTTGGAAACGAGACTGGAAGAATATGGACGGCAAGAGAGTATGCTGGATGAAGAGAAGATCGAACAGATGGTTAATGAATGGAATAGGTGAGAGAGAGAGAGAGAGAGCGAGAGAGAGAGAGAAAGAAAGGGAAAACAACCAATTTTCCATCCATATTTTCCAGAAACGAATCCCTCCTCCTATCCCTCGAAGAACTCGAACGAGTCCTAAAGGCAAAAGCCGTCGATCTGGACACTCGAGCATCAAGTGGAGAAAGACGGAGAAGAGCACAGGAACTCAAGGTATAGCCCCTCAACCTGTAGATGACCTTTCCAGACCCGTCTTGACGCCTGGAATCTGACCGCCAGGGAGATGAACGATGATGGGGATGAGCTGCTCCTTGAGGTCGACGAGTTGCACGAGGATTTGTTGAGGAAATTGGACGAAGTCGAGGCTGAAGACGACCCCAAGGAGGTCAGTATCAGCATCTTTTCACTTTCATGCTCTTAAATCGATGTTCTCATGAAATTTCTGCTAGAACCTCCATTCTCAAATGGTCTCTGCAAACCTGCCCGTCCCTCTCTCAATTCCCAAATGGTCTCTGCTAGCCTGCCTTGCCTTACGGTGTCTTAAAGGGACAAGGAAGTCGACAAAATTCAAAGTATAGGGCGAGCTTTCCAGTCCCTTTAAAGTCCCGCTAAAGCCACGGCCACCCCATCACAAGGATCCCCATTAAAATTGTGTGTGTGGCTGTGGGCCAGCAAAAACGTGGCCCCAGCAGGGGGATAGTAGAAAGGGGAGGGCCCTAGACATGGGACAAGACGCTTTACACCCGGAAACAGAGAGAGAGAGAGAGAGAGAGAGAGAGAGAGAGAGAGCAAGAGCCTCATCGTGAGCCTCAGCACCTCATGCTCAACAGGCCGCCGGGCACCGAGTTTTTTCGTCTCTTTGCATAGCCCGACTGGATTGTCGGAGATCATTTTCGGTCCATCTGTTCTGCTACTAGGCGCCGTTGTTTAACCTTTATTTTGTGAATTTTTGGCCAGATTTTCGCCAGTGATCTCTGCAAGCTTACCTAGACCAGATTTTTTTCGCAAATTGGCTCTGGTTTCATTTGCCGTAATTTTTCTCAAACGACTTCTGCTCGCTCGCCCGGCTTTATTTTTCCGCAAATTCTCTCTGCTAGGCTGCCATCATTTCCCTAATTGATCTCTGCTGCCTCGCCTAGCCGTTTAGACCCATTTATTCCACACCGACAAACAACACGAGAAAGCACAATTTTCATTAAGGGTTAAAAAGCTTTAATTCGGTTGAACTGCTCGGCGTCGACGGCCCGGTCATCATCCCTCGCTGGATTCCTCGTCCTCATCGCCAATGTCGAAATTCAGCTTGGGCGGGGGCGGCTGAGGCGAGTCGATCGAACGGCTTGGAGTTGGCGGCTTGGGGGGATGGGGCGGGGAATCTGAAGTAAAGAGTTTGTTCTTTTGTGCTAACTACAATCGACAAACCTGCGATAGAGGAGAGACTGGGGCGGCCGAGGACGCTCAACGGGCTCAGCACGTTTCCTAGAAAAGAGAGGATGAGAGAGAGAGTGAGAGAGAGAGAGTGAGAGCAACCCAGCCTTACCGAGCAACTGCGGCGAGTAGACGAGACGATCGGGCAGCGGCGATGGCGGCGGCGACAGCAACAAGTTCAGCCGAGACGTATTGATCGGAGAATATGCCAACTAAAGGAGCAATAAAGGCAGAGTGCCATGTCTCACCAGCGGATCCTTAAACGTCCCCTTGACGGCCTTCACCCGGTTGTTTTTGGGAGGTGGTGTCGATTCCTGGGCGCTGACATAGCTCGAGGTCTCCGGCGAGAGAAGGGTTGAAGATGAGCTGCTGCTCAATGGGGGCGTCGTGCTCGCCTTTCTCTGATTGATGCGATCAAAGGTGAGCCCGTGCTCTTCGAGGATGTCGTAGACTTCGGACTTGGTGAAGATGGGCGTCCAGGGGACGCGAGGGGTATCTGAGGCAAAGGTTGTTCGAAATTATGCATTCCGGGATTTCAAAAGTAAAATGCAAAATTTTTTGTTGCGGGCGGGATTCGAACCGGCTACCATGGATTCGTAGGCGCGGATGCTAACCAATAGGCCATCGCGGTTACCCGCTCCGCCGATAACAGACAAGTACCCAAATTTTCTGATTTTTTGCTTGCAACTCCCCACCAGTCTTTCCATCATCGGGATGACGTTTCCGGCAATCCCTGGCCACCAATTCGGCGGCACTGTCGATATTCCGGCGAAGATGGGCCAGATAGCGGATGTACGGCTGCTAAAATGGGGTGTCACCATCCCTTTAAATACCCCACCAGGTCGTGCAGCTTCTGGTAGATGTTGTAGGCGCGGGCGAGCAGGTCGGCCAGTTGGTTGATCAGGCAACACTTCGCATTCAGCAGGCGATTCGCCAGGCCCGGGGCACTGTAGAATAGGGGGTACGGTGGTTTAAAGGGGCTGGGAAGGCAGAGTCATTGATTTTGCCGGGTCGTGAACGTACGCCGAAGCCAAAGCTAAGCCGAAAGTAAGCATGAATCAAAGCCCGCTGAAGGGGAAGCCTGAAGTAAACCTAAGCTCCAGCCTAATCCTAACCCTAAGCCCAAGCTAAGTCAAGCCTAACAAGCCCCTTCTCTACCTTTTCACCTCCAATCTCTCGTCCAAAATATCGACGGTATTGCGTACGCGGATGCACGCGTCGCGGGCGAACCGCTCGTAGTGCAGTTTCAGCACCGTTTTCTAGAGGGACTCGGTGGCAGCGTAATTTGCATCAAGCAACACTTACCACTGGCGACTCCATCGTCGGGGAGGCCGCCATTTTGGGGCGGTCGTGAATTTTTGGCAAATTTTTGGAGAGTTTTCGGGGCAGAATTTATGCAAATTAGGCTGGGATTCAACTCATTCTTTAATTGATTTAATTTAATCGATGAATGCAAATATGGCTTTCCTGAGCCTTTAAAGTACCACTGAAATACGCGACGTAAGCGATTTTTGGGGTTAAACGTTCGCTCTCTCTCTCTCTCTGTCTCTCTCTCTCTGTCTCTCTCTTTCTTTTTCTCTCTTTCTCTCACGCTCTCTCTATCTCTCTCTCTCTCTGTCTCTCACTCTCTCTATCTACTCCCTTCCTTCCAGATCGCCTCTCGCCTCCGTTTCCTCCGCAACGACCGTGATCGTCTCTCATCTCGTGCTCGTCGACTCGCCATCCTCAACCCCCGAATGGCCGGAAATGACCCGGTAAGCCCTCTCACCGCCCCTTTAACGCACTTCTCCAGGTCTCCGACGTGAATTCCCGTTGGCAGCGTCTTGAGCAGCGACTGGAGCAACAGCCCTCCTCCTCCTCATCCCCTCCATCCCTTCCCCCTCCTCATCCTCCCCACAGTTCATTTGAGGATGGGGTCCGGCAATTGGAGTCGAGGTATCGATCGTGTATTTTCGAAAAATCTCCAAATGTTCAGCTTCGACGTGGCGGTGAAATTCCTGGACTTTGACGAGTATCCAGTCAGGAATGGGCATGAGTGGAATGATAGGGTTAAGGTAACACATTTTGGGGCATTTATTTTTGTCTGAGTATCAAGGCTTTTATTGGTTATTTCTATAATGTATAAAAAATTATTGAATGAAATTGGCAAAAAATAAAAAGTTTTAAAGTTGAAATTTTTAAGAGCATTTTATGATTTCCTATCAATCAAAAGCTACTAAAAACGCAAGATACAGTAGAGATAGAGAGAGAGAGAGAGAGAGTAGAGAGAGAGAGATAGAGAGAAGGCAGAGAGTGAGCGAAAGAAAGAGAGAGAAAAAGAGAGAGAGAGAGAGAGAGAGAGAGAGAGAAATACAATTTTTTTGATTTATATTTCCAGGAAGCGGAAGCGTGGATGGCAGCCCGGCGTGAAGCTCTAGCGGAAGTAGTAGCTGAAGGGAGAAGGCTGGCCGATACGGGCAGAATGGAGCTCGAGACGCACAGGGCCATTGAACAGCTCGACAACGTCATCGATGTCGCTAATGAGGTAATATTATAGTAAGAAAAAGCGTTTCTATGCTGTTTTTACGACTCTTACAACGTAACAAAATTGTATTAAAAAATATAAAAAATATCGATTTTTCGATCAAAATTTAAAAAACACACAATTAAAGGCATTTCTGGAGTTTAAGGAAAAGTTGGTTACCCCCCCCCGATAATGGAAAAGAAACCCTTTAATCCTTCCAGTTCGAAGCCGAAATCGAGCGAAATCGTGGTGAGGTCGACCTCGCTGTAGAAAAACGCGATGGACTAGAGAAAGACATCCGAGCCATGGTTGACGTCATCCACAGTCTAGCCCAAAGAAATCTGCAAGAACCCGAGATTGTCCAAGTATCGTTTCCTGTGTTGCCCTAACTACCGTATTACAGGCGACGCGTCGAGATCTCTCATCGAGAGATCCACAGCTGTGCTCTCTCTCGAGGAGAGCTGCCGAGCTACACGCATCGTTACCTGGAAGGTGGGTGTTGAAAGGGTTTATAGGTCATCCAAAGAAGGCTGCGTCTGGCTCATTGCCTAGGCTCTTGCTTCATAAGTGTGGGGCACCGGGTTCGAATCCCTGCCGGTGCGAGACTTTTTGCTTTTTGGAGATGAGCCTCTAAAAACGTCAACAACCGATTCCAGATCCTCGGCTTCTCGCGATGCATCGCTGGATGAGCTGAATCGACTTCTCGGCCAACTCGAAGCCGGGCTAGCAGGATCGGCTTCACGCAGCGAAACAAGAGAACCGGGCCCCTCACAACCATCGCCAGATAGAACCTCGAGGAGTAGTGTTGGAGGGGAGCTAGGTGAGGGATGGGTTGAACTTGTTGAAGACGTCGATCGGGAGTTTGACTAGATAGTAGGCGGGCGAGCTAGCAGAAATTATTTAGGAGAATCCACCGGCCGAAGGAGTCGGGCGGGCTGGCAGAAACCATTTGGGAATTGAGAGACAGAGGGCAGGCTAGCAGAGATTCTTGAGGAATCCGAGTTTTTAACCCCCGTTTTTCAGCGATGGAGGTGATGTGCACGGATCAGGGCACAACCACCGAAGAAGAGAAGTCCAAGGCTGAAGCTCAGGTACGTTGGGGTGTCATTTGGTGCAATGCGTTGCTTTCGCCCTTTTCCCTTGCGCTTACTGTAGTTGCTGGGGGTACGGTAGTTTAGGTGAATTATGCTTTTTATGCAAATTAATCAATTTTTATCGAGAATTTTTGTCCTTAAATTCTAAAAAATGTATGAAATTTATTAGCGCTTTTTGAAGCACGTGAATATATTCATATTCTGCCCTGAAATTCCACCCATCCTACCGTACCCCTGGGTTACTGTAGGAAGAGCCGAAACACCGTCAACAATCATCCGTCGACATCCCGATCCACTTTGAGCCCGAGCAGCCGCAACGTCTCGGCCAGATGAACATTGAAGTAGAAGAGGAACAGGCGAGTACAGTAGCACACTTTGCATCTATTGCACAACACCATAATACACCTAATGACGGTTGTAGCCACGCGTCTGTCCCCGTGGGAATATGCACTAATGAAATGGTTAACCTTCAGAAGGGTGGAGACGACGTGGCAACGTCGTCTGCAATTCAGACATCAAAAACTTCTGAAGCAGAAGCTAGGGAAGCCATGACGTCATCAGATTTTAAGCCAGAAGATGGCTATGAAGCTCAGGCCGCTTCCAAAGTGAAGCAACCGGAAGATCATGCTCCTGAAGCTTCTGAAGCTAAGTTGGAAAGGACGTCCCCTGAAGCCAAGGCTCAAGACGATGACGGAGCCAAGACGATTTCCAGAGTGACAGCACCTGCAACGAAGCTGGAGCCCGAATCTCATGCTCCTGAAGCTTCAGAATCGGCTGCTAAGTTGGAAAGGACGTCTTCTGAAACAAAGCTGGAGCTTGAACCTCGTGCTCCAAATCCCGAGGAGCAAGACGCTCTAGCCCGAGCTCCAGTAGTGGAAGCGGTGCCAGTTATGCGTTTCTCAGAAAACCAAGAAGACCAAGCTCATGCTCCTGAAGCTCCAGAACCCGAAGCTAAGCTGAAAAGGATGCCCTCTGAAACCAAGCCCGAAGCTGAAGCCCAAGCTTCTCCACATCCTGAATCCGTAATCACGTCAGCTGGCCCGAAGCCGCAAGCCGAAGCTCAAAAACCCGTCGAAGCCTCAGAACCAAAGCCCGAATCGTCGCCGATCCGACATTACGCTGTGAAGTCGGTGTTGGAGCGGGTGTTGGACAATGTACGATCACAAAGCTCATCACCGGATACGGCTTCAGTTGAGCTGAACTTCCCCAGTTCGTCGGAAGGAGAGTTTGGAAGCTCCAGTGAGGAAGAAGGTGAACAGGCAAAAGAAGGCGTTGAGAGGGCGGCTGAAGGTCACGATGTCAAAGCTGTTCAAGCAGATGATGCTCATGAGCCTGCTCAAGTCGCAGTTCGACCTGAAAGTCTGCAACATAAAGTAGAACCACCGCGACTTCAGCAAGCGGATCAGCCAGTAGGTGAAGCCGAACTCCCCGAAGTCGACGCCGCAGAAGAAGTGCCTCGGCCTCAAAAAGAAGCCGGGCTTGGAATCGAAGCCACCAAGCCGGCAGATAAAGTTTTACTTCCTGAGGTCGCTGCTCCACATAAACCTCCACGTGTTGATGAAGCTATAAAACCAGTAGATGTACCTGAACACCCTGAAGACAGCGCTTCAGAACTGCGTCAACTTGAGGCCAAAGCCCCGGAAGCCCAATTAATCCTGACCGACGTGAGACCGGTTGAACTTGGCGCTGAGCTCGTCCTCAGGACCCCATCTCCAAGACCGGAAACACCGCTAGAGGGGGTGCTGGAGAAGGTCAAGGATTCTCTTGATGTGTCGGCTATTATTGAGACCGTACGGCTCGAGTTGGAGCAGGTGCCGAAGGCCGTAAAGGTTGAGCACGAGGAAAGAGCTGTAGAAGCTGAACCGACACCGGAAGAAGCCGGAAGGGTTCCGGTAGTCGTAGAAGACGTAAAAACCAAGCCATATCCGGACGAATCCGGCGAAAAAGCGGGTACAGTAGGAGTTTCCGACAAGGTGCAGGAAATTCTGGAAAGATCCGATTTACAAAAGCCAGTTCCGGAAGTTCAGAAAGCTGTTGTGAAGCGAGAAGCGGAAGCGTCTCCAGGAACCGAAATTCCGGAACAATCCACCGTACAAACGGTAATGTCAAGAATTCCGGAAGAATCCGCTCCTAAACCGGCCATTTCGGCAGAGGTAGCATACCGGAAAGAAACGGAATCAATCCCAGAAATTCAAGAGATTCCTGTAGAATCCAACATACAGCCACCGGCCGGAACAATTCCAGGTGAAGCCGCGGTGAAGCCGGCCATTCTGGAAGAGCAACCAGACCGGAAAAGGCCCGAAATTCCGATGCACTCCTCCGTACCCTCAAATCCAGAAGCAGACACCTCAAATATCCCGAAAGACTCATTCTCCGGAGATGAATCAACCTTGAACATCATCAACTATGAGGACAACCTCGTTCCCGTTGAACCGGAAATGGCCAATATTGAGGCTACCGTAGCCCCGAAACAAAAGACGGAAGCGGATACGGTAGCCCTGGCAATAGCCCCACTACAGCACGCACCTATTGACGAACCGGGGATACCGTATCCGGTGTATAATTTGGAGGAGGAGGACGGGAGGAGTTTAGACTCGTACTCTGATCCTTTATCGAAATATGAGACTCCGCCAGAGACTTTGAGGGATGCGACACCGTCTAGTGATGAAATGAGCGATGTCACTCCGAAGCCGATGGCTGGGGAGGGAGCCCGCGATATTTTTGAAGCCAAGCCAGGGGAAGAAGCTTACAAAGCTAGTGAAGCTCTGGTTATAACGAAGCCGGCCGAAGTTCCGAAAGAAGCTGATGCTCAAGTTGCAGCTCATGCTTTTGAAGAAAAGCCGAATTTCGGGGAGTCAGCGGATCAAGGTTCTCGGGCTCCGGAAGCTCAGGCTCAGTCGTTGATGCCTGCAGAAGCTGAAGCTAACCCATTCAAGCCGGAAGATCAAGCTTCTGAAGTTCATGCTCCCCAGCCCAAGCTGGAGCCTCAAGCTCTTGAACCTCAAAACAAACCAGCTGAAGCTCAAAAACTTCTGGAAGTTCAAGCTCCAAATTCTGAACCCAAGCTCAAGCCTCGAGATGAAGATTTTGAAGCTCAAAAATCAACTCAGCAGGCTACAGCTCCTCAACCTCCTCGTGCTCAAAACCCATCCCCCGAAAAACTAGCCATACTCGCCGATCAGGACCCCGAACTGCTCGAAAAAGTACGGCAAGCCGAAGCCGAACCAAAGCCGTGGATCCGACAAGCCGAGAGGGCCCTTCAAAAGGTTCTCGAGACAGCCATTGGAGCACGTGCTCACGACGATGATCATCACCAGAAGCATGTAGATGAGGCGAGAGAATGGCTGCGGCAGAGCCCGGAGAAACGGCAGACACAAAGGGGAAAGGTCGGAACTGTTGCTCCCCGCTCGGTTCCGTTCGAATTCCGTTTCTTTACGTTCTACAGTAGACTTCTACTCCAATGCACACTCATACTATTTCCAATTTCTAACATTGCTTTGGCTGGTCTGTGCACTAATAGAAGCATTTTAAAGGGATTGGCAAGTCAAAAAAATGAAAATTAGGGGGTTGTGGGAAAAGGGAAAATTGATACTTTTGACTTCCCAGTTCCTTTAATTTTCGTTTGTTGATTTTTATACCGTAATCTTTCTATTTTTAGACAGACTCCCGTGAGGTGACACCGGTAGAAAAGGGCCAAAGAGAACCGAGTGGGCCGCGGGTGGAAGAGGTGAGGATTACGGTAAAATTTGATGATAGGCAAGCTAGCTGGGATTCTTTGGGAATTTTAATTGAGCCTGCGGAGGCTAGCAGAGATTTTTTAGGATTTGCTAGAGCAGTGTTTTTTGAAGAGATATCAATATCAGGCAAGCAAGCAGAGATTCATTAGGAATTTGAGCTCTTTTGAGTCATCGGGAGGAGCGAATTTTTGTATCAGTCAAGCATAGCCACAAAATGTAATTGTATGCATTTTAATAGATTTTATCGTAAAATTTAACCATTGTTAAAATGGAAAACAAAATAAAACCTAATTTTTACTCAAAATCGATTTTTTTTCGAAAAACTATGGCTTTTAATTATAATTGTAAAATTCAGGATTTAAGGCGGATTTAGAAATAGGTAAAATAGTTTACAAACTCTAATTTTATTAAAAAATAGGCTCCTAAGGAACCCCCCGATAATGCAACAGTAATGTCATGGTGATCTAGCAGTGATATTTTGGGAAATTTTCCAAGCGGTTTACTATGGAAAAAAATCATGAAAAATCAGCTTTAATCCCCCTTGGAAAACGGCGTGATAAATCCAACTCTCCCCATTTCCAGGCGATCATCCCAAAATCCATCAAATCCTACGAAAAGACCCCGCCACGACATCAGCCTTCTTCTTCCAAAAATCGACCCGATATGGATGAGGTAAGAAATTTAACGCAATTTAATTTAGAAAATGTATAACAAAAACTATTAAATATTTTAATGAACAAAATTTCAACTTATTTTATGGTATTTAAACCAAAACTAACTTACTTTTTTAGGTCTACGAAATCCTCGACAACATTGAAGATGGACTCTCGTTTGAAGAGGAATATCCACTCGAAAATGTTGAGAGAGATGAGAGACATTATAAGGTGAATTGACACTAAATAATGCCCCAACTACCGTATCCCAATTTCAGGAGATGCACAAACAATTGGATAAAGCTGCTAAGGCATTGGAGGCTAATCTCATGGAAATGAATATGATGCAGGTAGGGCTAGCAGAGACCATTTGGGAATTGAGAGAGGGAGGGCAGGCTAGCAGAGACCATTTGGGAATTGAGAGAGGGAGGGCAGGCTAGCAGAGACCATTTGGGGTGGGTCGATGGTTGCCAATTTCAGGCGGATCACACCCGAGATCGTATCGAAACGCTGCGGAAAGATGTTGATGAACGAAAGAGAAAAAGCCATGATGAGAAGAGAGAATGGATCGATTTCTCGAAAACCTTACAAGAAGCGGAAAGGCTATACCTAAAGGGGATGAGACTAACAGAGGACTGGACAAAGAAGGGATTGAAAGACAGAGAGAACCCGAAGGCCAAGGAGATGTTGGACCGGATAGCCAGGGTAGGCTGGCAGAGATCATTTGGGAATTCGAGGCATTTAGACGGCAAACCGTGCGGAGACAGCAGTGTGTGATGTGGTGCGTCGAGCTGGAGGAGTACTGCCACGGATGAGAGAGGGTGGAGTAAAAGAGACAGAGACAAGGAGAGCCGTTTATGATTTGGATGAGAAATTTGCGGAATGGAGTCGGCAGGTAGGGTTTTTACATGCTCTCTCTCTCCCTCCTCTCTCTCGCTCTCTCGTCTATGATAATTCTATATTTTCAGGCTCGCGCCCTCCTTGATACCTCGGTAGTGGATGTAGATGCTCTTCGATCTCAATCGACCTCAATCTGTGAATGGTGTGATTTGGTTGAGGGAGAGATTTGTTCTCTCATCCACTGGACAGATATCGATACTATTCAAGAATACAAGGATAAGGTACACAAGAAAAAATGTCGCTCCTCTGTCTGTCCGTCTATCTCACTCTCTCTCTCTCTCTCTCTCTCCCTATCTCTCTCTCTCTTAAAACTTTATATTCGCGATCTCCATCCCTCAAAAGACCTAATTACCATATATTCCTCCATTTCCAGTCCGAAAAACGACTCGTCGAACTCGCCGATCATCGTCAGACCCTGAGCCATCTTGAGCAGGGCAAAGATCGCCTCGTCCTGATGCATACTGTAGAAATGCATGTCAAACACGACGTCCGAAGGCTCGTCTCACATGCTGCACAACGCATCGCTGATGTAAGTCGACATTTTTGGCTTGAATGGGCCTTTAAAAGGGACTGAAGAGACATGGCTTGCTGGCGCCTTTAAAACGAAGTTTTTGAATTGCTGAGGTAGGCTTTGGAAAGGTCATGCTCAACATCTGGTAGGGAGAAAGAGCGAGAGAAAGCGAGAGAGAGAGAGAGAGAGAGAGAGAGAGAGAGAGGTATTTTAAGCTCCCCCAACAGAAATTTGAGTAATCGTCCCCCAGCAACGGCTTTTCTCTAGAGCCAATGGAATATACAGAAGGTGTAATATTGCCCCCCTAGCCATTGGGTGTGTGCCATCAAAAGCTGTAGAGGCAGCTGACCCCTCTCTCCCCCCTCAATTGACCCCTCGAATATTCTAATCACCAGCGCCAGCCCTATTGGATCGATTCACTCGTTTTTCAATTTCTAGGCCCAAAAACAGCTCTAAATTTGAATTTTTCAGAGTTTTAGGAATTATTTTAAGTACATTTTAGGTACTGAGCTGTTACACCTAATTTTTTAGTTATCGTATTTTTGGTACACATAGGATAGCGGGGGGGATAAAATAACAGGGGGGCACTCATTATTATGAAATTTGCAATTACTTTGGGATTTTGCGAGTGCCATTTGATAGAGCGTCGAAAAATATACTAAGAGAATTAATTTCAGCACAAAATAATGTAATAGAAATTTTTTATTGAATAAACAAAAATTGAGGAAAATCCATGGGCAGCACATAGGATAACGGGGGGAAAGCCAAATTTTTGAGATTTTCGATATTTTGAAAACGCGAATCGATGAACATCAAAAAATATACTACGATATTTTTTTACAACACGAAAAAATGTATTTTAAAAGTTTTATAGCCTAAAAACTATTTTTGAAAACTATGGATAGCACATAGGATAACAGGGGGGGGGGGATTTTTCGGCGTTTTGAATATTTTCGATATTTTGAAAATGCCATTCGATAGAGGAACGAAAAATATACAAAGAGTTTTTTTTACAGCCCGAAAAAAGCATATTTAAAAATACTTTTATCATTAAAAAAGTTTGAGTGCCCCCGTTATACCCCCGTTATCCTATGTGTACCGTATTTTTAGTAGTTTTTGATTGATAGAAAGTTTTTGGAATTTTTTTTTTGCTCGGTAGGGGCCATACGGGATTATTTGGAAAAATTAGCCCCCCCCCCGCTAATAGTCCAGTCCCTATTGCTTTGCGTTCCAAGTGCATTCAACTTGGAAGTCGGAAATCTGTATTTTCTGGTATTTTTTAAGGAAATTTGTATTTTGTATTTTTTGCGTTTAGAATAGCAAGAAAAAAGTTTAAAATTGGTCTAAAAAGTATTAGAAGAATTCGTACCTTGAAAAAAAATGGCCTATAACCCGGAATCCAAACCCTAATTTCCAGATTCGCTCCGATATCGCGGATCGATCACGATCACTAGACGAAATGAGACTCCGAGCAGAGGAAATGTGGCGAGAAGTGGATCGTGTAGAGGAAATGGCAAAAGAAATCGAAAGAAGGGTGGAAGCTGCGAGGGATGCTGTTATTTATACGCCATCTAGGGATGCAGCTATGGCTGTTAAGGTGAGCTGGCGGAGATTATTGGGGAATTAATGGAGGGCGCCAATTGAGTGTGGAAAATCGAGTCTAGCAGAGATCCTTGGGGGATTTGAAATCGAAAGATTACGCCATGAAATTCCGTTGCTCGCGGGCAAGCTAGCATTGATTCTTGAGGAATTCTGGAAACTAGGGTGGGCTAGCAGGGTTTATTTAGGAAAACTGCGACGTCAAATGGATGGGTATGCTAGCCGAGACCATTTTGGAACTAAATTTCAATCGATTATGCCATGGGATTCGGTCACAGCGATAATTTAAAAGCATGGACAGCTAGCAGAGATTCTTTAGGAGAAGGCAGGCTAGCAGAGATTCTTTAGGAGAAGGCAGGTTAGCAGAAATTCTTTCGGAATTTTTATCCAGGGAGGAGTCACCAGCAGCTATTTTTAAGACCGAGTACGGCAAGCTAGCAGGGATTTTTGGGGAATTCAGGCAACTGTAGGGTAGGCTAGCAAAGATTCTTTGAGCAACTAGCAGAGACCATTTGAGAATATTCAAATTTTATTGATTCCAGAGCGACGCCGCAGACCTTCGAATGGCGGCCAGCAAACTCGAGAAAATCCTGGCGAATGCCGAAAAGGACAAGCCGGTTATTCCCGAAAAACAGAAAAGGTAAAAAATTTAGATTTTCACAAATATTTTTTTATC